GGGGGGGGAATGCTGCTGAAGAACGCGTTGAATTGTGAAAGAACAAATAGCGTCGGTTACGCAAGAGGTTACCGGCGTTAGCTGTACTGAGTCGGAGTTGCATAGTGACTTAGCAGGAACCTCCTGGCGGACTAGTAAGATATAGTCAGCCTCCAATCTTGTAAGAAACTGTCTTTAAGCTGCATCATGTAACTAACGATTTAATTCGGTTGTGCGCTGCATTTTTTGAACTAAAGAACGCTCATGTCTCCTTGTAGGAGTAGAATTTCAGATGGGTAGTACAGCTTTTCGCTTGGCGTCCTAGGCCGCGTCAACCCATAAAATTCCAGATGATTACATCTTCGAGTGCATACATTATCTCGCGCGGGCTTAGAAAGAATTCTGAAAACCGCTTTTCAGGGTGTGTGGCATCCAAGTCAAACCTGCGATGAAGCACGACGACAGCGAGGAGCACCAACACTCAGAAGTGCTCGTCGAATAACGAGTTCATCCCTTGATATTCAGCTCAAACGTATGGTCAAGCACAGCCACTTTCTCATCCTTACATATCCTTAATAATGTTGCAGCTGGTGATATCAAAGCTTGTCCTCGTTGTCACACCTACATAGTCAAGATGGATGATGGATCGTGCAATCACATGGTTTGTGCTATGTGTTCCGCCGAGTTCTGTTGGTTGTGTCTGAAGGAAATAAGTGATTTGCACTATCTAAGGTGGGCGCAGTTCTATAGTAGACGTATTTATATGTATGCACTTCGATTTAGTCCGACCGGATGCACCTTTTGGGGCAAGAAACCCTGGACTCGCAAAAAGAAGCTGCTCTGGCAGTTAGGTTTGTCACTGCGCAATTACAAGTCCTAACAGTGTCATTATCCTACTCCAGGTACTCTGATTGGTGCACCTGTAGGCATAGCCATAATAGCTGGACTTTCCATACCCGGGATTATTTTTGGTGTTCCAGTATTTGTCGGGAGGTACGCGTATCAACTTGCTATTTATATTGCAAGCAGCAGAGTAAAATATGTTGTTTAAGAAAGGTCCATCAGCGTCTCGCGCATCACTCGAATGCGCGTCGACGTCTCCTCACCGCTGCGTGTGTTGTGGGTTCATTGTTCATTAGCCCCGTGCTCGCTGTGATGGCCGTAGGTCAGTTGTAAAATGATTGTAGCGCGAACTACCACGACCTCTTGCAAAGAGGCATAAATTGTTTGTAGGTGTTGGAGTACCGATTATGCTTGCATATGTTTACGGAGTTGTTCCGTTGTCTCTGTGTCGTAATGGGGGTTGCGGGATTTCTGAACCTAATACTCAGACAGACGCTTTGAACGATGAAGATCTTTGGACTCTAGCTTCTCGTAGGTTTTTAATCACTAGAAATCCATTCAATTTTTTGTTGTTTTGCTGCTCATGTTCACTTTACTAGTTTTTACTCTTTAGATCAGGACAAATCTCAGCTGCTGAGTGAGATGGACAGACCGGATGGGTCCTCACTTGTCGCTGAACTTTCTTTGCAGAGTGGAATATCTGGCGGTATTCAGCATCATGTCCGACTTGCTGTCAATGACATCCGCAGGCGAACAAGTGTTGACTCTGGTAGCCTCTCTAATCACGGTTTTTTGCGTGTTTCTTTGATTTCTTTGTAGGTGTGAATAGCCTCTGCGAAAGAATCAACTATGAGGAAGCTAGCACACGTGCCATGGCGGGGTCTCATTATCACTACGATGATAAGGTTACATTTACAGTCTTCCGCAGTTACAAGAAATTACATTAACATTCATTCTAAGCAAACTTGATTGCAGAGTGTTCGTACATTCTACTCAGGCCATGAACAAATATCGTATAGTGACGAAGCTGCTAGTACAAAGGTCTGTCTCAACAATTTTACGTTATTTGTCTACTTCGGCTGCGTCCACATGTATTATTTGCAGGCATTAGCTGGCTCCGTCTTAGATTCGAAAAGTCTCAGCGAAAGCACAGGAGCTCGCATCCTTGCTTCACATCATGATCACGGTTGGTGCTTTTGAAAGCATGCTTTTGTCTAATTTCTCCTGGATTCTCTAAGTTTTTTGTCCCTTGTTATCGTTCGATTTGCAATGTTCTGTGTGTTTGTATGCTCTTTATTGGCAACTTTTGAAAAGTAAGCAGTCGAATTTCCAAGCGAGCCGCCAGTGCCCCTCCCCCTCCTCCTCTCGTCTAACATCCCCGAGCGCCAAACCTTGATATGACCCAATCAAAATCCTGTTCTGGAAACCTCGCGCTGGTGTGAGCCGTTTCCATGGACTATTGGTCCTTTGCACGTGCTGTGGCATTTCGTGGGACCGGTAGTCCGAAAGATCATCCACCTTGCCATTCCCTCCGCCATGAATTTCGAATCAAACTCGGTTGTTGCAAGGGTAGGCGTCAGACTTAGGCCCGTATGCACGTACATCCCCGCTGGGGAGG